GGGCCTCGCAAGGCAATGACTCCCCCCACTTATTTAAAACTTCTTTCCAAACAAGTTCATTTGTGTTGCAACCTCGCTAACAAAGATCTTTCCTGAGAATGTGAAGGTTTCAGAAAGCATCTTACGTGTTTAGCTACAATGTTTGTGTTTCACATGCAGCTAAAGTTGGAAATAATGTGTAACAGAGAGAATTAAAGACAAAAGGACACCTTTTTAATGACACACATTACTCATTGTGTGGTCTTGTTGGCTGTTTTCTAACCAGCTACTGCATAAAGAGTCATCTCCCCCAGGCGTTAATGCGGTCTTTTAGAAAACAAATGTAATTCATGTTCTGCTCAAGAGATCAAGGTATGTGTTGTGGCAGCAAAACATTTAAATATTACTTTTAGGAATCCTATTAGCAGTCCTGTTATCTGAGGCGAAGCTAGGCTAATGGCTAAGTTGCAGAGAGTAGATAAGTTATCTCTTCAAACCCATTGTTGTGAGGAAAAAGGAAGTTATGTAACATCAGCATGAGGAATCTATGTTTGTGTTGTGGCAGCAAAAATACTGTGTTGCATAAGCAAAAAGAAATTTTGATTTTCCCTACCTCATTATACCACTCCCTCATTTTTTTAATCATAGTTCTTTCACTTAAGATATAAAGCTCATGAGAAGATGGCAGTGAGGAAGTGAGAAGTAGAGGAGCAGAGCTTCCTAGAGGCATCACTGTAAGATGAGCTGACTATAAATATCTCCACTTCTCTGTCCTCGTCTCTACCAGCGATACTGTTTTACCTCTTCTCTCTCCTCCAGTGTGGTGGGAATTTCTTCTGCTGGCATTCAAATGAGCTATTCAGTTGATAGTAATCCAGACAGCAAATTAACCTGACAGCAGGGGTGAAATAAAGGAAATTAAAACCCCATCCTATTGAAGGTCAGCTTCCTGACATCATAAGAGCTTCCCACATCCTCATCATCACCTTGCAATAACTATTTCCTTTGCCGTTTTCTGGATTTTATCTTCAACTAAAACAATGACGTCTTGTTATTAAGCCTAATGAACATATTTCAGCCTAGTATCCCAAAAAGGAAGATTACCGCTCCCTGCAGAGTAGTTTAGTGGACGACAGATAATTACAAGTAGATTGAGGTGCAACTGACGTTGGGATGTGATCGTTCTAAGATGTTATTATCCCCTTCTAAGGAGACCAAGCCTCTACACTTTTAAAGCCGAACACCAAGAAGATATAATTTAGAAATGGGACAGTTTTGAAGAATTACATAGAATAAAATAGCTGTACTTTCCTTTGTGGCACTGAAGGAGATGGAAGGAGCTTTTCATTGATCATTTTCCAGGCTCCCCCTGAGTGTTTCTGTTGACAGCTTCTAGGGAGCACATCACACTTAAGGTGTATTTAAGGCAAAGTAAGGGGACATTATCTCACATTAACTTAAGCATCAGTTGCATCCTCTGTGTATTTGTGTTCAGATGTTAATCATGCAATTATTGGACAAAGAAGGCAAAATGTGGTATTGACTGCACTAACAGACCATCCAAGAAGTCTATGCTCCATTTTTTCGGAAAGCAAAATTATTTTTCTGTTCTTTGATGGTTGAATAGGATAAACAGATGGTCATGTGTGTATTTTCCCTGGCGAAAGGGGGCAGCACATACTTAAATCACTGCAAGCAAGTGGTAATTGTGTGTTTGAGTAAGACCTTACCAATGGATAGCCATTAGGGTCAAAAGTCCCTGGGAGCTCAACCTCCAGCAAAATGACAAGCACATCAGACTCCCTTTAATCACTGGCAACGAGCAAAAAGGTAAATGTGTAAAACAACAATGTTTATGAATGGTGAAAGTTTTGTAACCGCTTGTTACACATCAGTAAAGGCATTTTGTCCTCACAGGCTCACGTAGGAGGAAACATGTCATCTCATATGGCATCACCCAGAGATGTATTGATATTCATGTTACAAAGCTGCAAATACTTTTCAACAACTGGGCATCATTTTATTCATTTTCAACAACTTTTTGATGGATATTTCCAGAGATTAACGGTAAAAACTACACAGTGTCTCTTTAACAAAATGCTGCTTGGTAACAAATGGGTTGAAATATGACGTGCTGGTAGGGCTGGGTTCCAAAACTCTGTACCGTCTCTGTAGCTGCATTTTTGCGGGTCTCTGACCACGGGTGCAGTGCACTCTGGCCATCCAGATCTGATAGCTGCTCCGAGAGACTGTAGCCATGCTGGCCATCTTTGGAACTTAGAGTTGCTCAACCATGATTTTCTGGCTAAAAGTGCCCACAAAGCTTCGTTAGCTTCAGCATGTCCCCCATTTCCCCCTACGTCTATGTCTCATAGCTTTCCACATCCTCAAAGCCCCAATCTCAGCTCCACCTCTTTGCCCATTTTTGAATTGTCCAGGAGTGATGAGACATGTGACACAGCCAAGATGGCGGTGGTGGTGGGAATGCCCATTGGGCTCCAATTCAGCACTTCAGAAACATAAGGAGGTTCGGTCCATATTTTCCACAGTCGTTGGTGAATTTTGAAATAAAAAAAATAAGCTTAGCCCAACTTTAGTCAGATGTCAGATTGTGGCAACAAACATTTCAGATCAGCTTGCCCAGAAATGAAATGATTCCCACCCCCTTACCTCAGAGGTCTGCAGTAACCCGTGAAAAGTGCACATTAGATGTTATGTCACCTGTGTCAGCTCCTGAGCTAAAGTGGTTATGCAACAAACTCCGGAAGAGCACAGATCACTGACATTTCATAATACTGCATGACTGCAAACACCATTTGTGTCTCAGCTGTGTGAAACAGGATCAAATTTATTTCTAACCACTATTAACATGAGTGTAAGTGTGATATCTCTGTGTGCATGAGCACTCGTGTGTGTGTGAGCTTTTGACTTTGACCCTGTTCTTGCAGAACAAACATTCAGTTTTTTTCTTTTTGTGAGATCAAAAGAACGCTGTAGGATTTGTATAGAAGTTTCAGATATATTTAATTCATTATTTTCAACATTAAATTCCAGTTGAAGCTATTTATTTGTATTTTTTAGTCAGAAAATCCCTATACTGGAAAGAGATGAACAAGTAGATCCACACAGAAACAGCAGCACAAATGAGAACGTAAACAAATTATATCTGAAACTAGTTCGATTTCTCTTTTTTGTCGTTTCTTTGTCCGATTCTTTCCCACCTCCTCCTTTGGGTGGTGCAACACGAGGTCCACGTGTTTGAGGGTCAAGAGCTCAGTGAGCAAATAAAGTGGAATCACACATCCGCTTCTGGGTTAATGGTTAACCGCAGCAGGTGATCACCACACAAGTAGGTTACCGTCAGCTTGACAAAACAAACACTCAGGTATCTTAGAAAAGCGAAAAGAAAAGCTTTGTGTCTGAATGTCCATTTATCCATCCGGAGTCGGGTCGCGGGGGCAGCAGCCTAAGCCGAGAGGCCCAGACCTCCCTCTCTCCAGCCACTTGGGCCAGCTCTTCCGTAGGAATCCCAAGGCGTTCCCTGGCCAGCCAAGGAACATATAGTCCCTCCAGCGTGTCCTGTGTCTTCCTTTAGGTCTCCTAATGTAAAAGAATGTCCATTTAAACCGTATAAATTCTCAGATGATCTGAGAATATCCAGTTTCATGGCTGTAGAGTTCTAAAACCCCTTTAAAACAGCCCTAAAATTTAAAACCACACCAATCTTCTAAAGGTGTCACCGTTTCAGTTAGGTGCATCTGGTTTATTAAAACAGTGTCTCATTATTTTTGCTGTCTGTTTCTTTTATTATTGACAGTGATATTAGTTCACAGTGTATGTGTCAACGTTATTTTTTACTGATGTGTTTTTGAATGTATCGTGTCAAATTTCTAATCATCTCTTGTGGGCGCAGATATCCGGAGATGTTCAGCACAGGAATCAGTCAGTGAAACCAGAGCGCCGCCGTACAGCATTCAGTGAGAAACAGGCTTAATTTAGCTGTCTGTGTAGACTCCAACCTGCATCCCTATGTAAGTCAGTAATGTTGCAATGGTTCAGTCTGACAAAATCTGGTTTAATATGACTTAAGCTTCAACACACTACCTTACATTTGAATCTCCCAACACACCTCAGTGTTGGCAATATACAGTATACACCTTTGTGCTAATGGTAGAACGATAGCCTGAGCTCTGCTAACTAGCTTGAGCTATTGCTAAGGTCCTTGTTGGACAAGAAAAAAAAAAGGATGTAAAGGGAATACCCAGACCATGAATGAATGCCAGAACCTGCCCTCTGTTGTAGGACTTTATTATGGTGTTGTGGTTGGGTATTTATTAGGGATTATGGGCCATTGTGAGCCACAACAATGTTTTATATGCTTTGTAAAGATTCAAAGAACAGTCTACAATAATGACAAACCTCCTTTTTGTTCACCTTTAAATTTTTCTGCAAGATCTGGCAGTGCTAGTCCAGTAATCAGGTACAATTAACTTTGGCTCAGCAGATTGTTCAGCTCGTTAGCCTCGGCCACTTAACTCCTCTGCCTCCATCGGCCCATGATCGTCAAAATGATCCCAATTCCATTTGTTCAAGATACCTGATAAAATGGTACAGCTGTTTAGAAGTTCTCAGACATTAACATAAATGGTAAATATTTACTATAGCACCTTCTATGGTGATACGACCTCACGAGGAGCTTTACAGCACAATCAGTCATTCACATGCTGGTGGTGATGAGCTACAGTGTAGCTACAGCTGGCCCAAGGCACACAAACAGAGGCAAGGCTGCCAAGCGTAGGCGCCACTGGTCCCTCCGACCACCACCAACATGAAAAGCTGGTTGGGTGTCTTGCCCAGTGACACAACTGCTACAGGCGGGCCTCGAACCAGCAACCCTCCAGTTTTGGGGCGGGCACTTAACTCCTCAGTCACTGCCGTCTCCGTAGAAAGGTGTAAAAAGCTTTACACTGGTCTATTTTTTCTTTAAGTAAATAGGGAGAGAAAAATAAGTGGCATACATGTTAAAAGAAAAATAATATTTCAATATTTATTTGCGGTACAAACATGTTTGTGTCGTTTCCATACACTGTACAATACATAAAGTCAATCATATTTCTCTCGACAGACAGAAAGGTGAAACTGCCCAGTCAACACACCCCTCAATATCTTTATACACTGACATATTGCATCTTTTAAAAACTGTTTACAGCACGATATAAAACAGCTACTCAACATGACTTTGAAGCTGTAACATGACGTAAGATGCATTGTCCAAAAAAAAAATCCCTGAAGATTTCCTCACTGAGGTAACATTTTTCAAACTCATTCACTTTTTTCGTTCGCATCACCACTCCTCAGTCCTCACTTAAACACACCTTCCCCCTCACAAGCACATTCTTTCTAAGAAGTACTGCGGCTACAGGTTTAAGGACACAGAAACATCCATTCCTGTGATCTGGCAAATTTACAAACAGAGAAAAAGACTTTCTCTTTCATCGTTAAGAGACAAAAAACACCAAGAAAGCAGCTCTAAATCAACTGCATTCTTCTTAAGTAGCAAAAGCTGCGTCCCGAACTATATTCATTCCTTGGGTACAAGTGATTAAGTCCTCGTCATATTTTTATTTTTCTCTTGTGAGTGGGCTACGACTCCAGGAGAAAAGTCCATTTGGATATGGTCGTGCTGTTTTATAACAGGAGAGGAACTTTGCATATGAATTTAAAACGCATATACTGAGATATACAGTATAGTCATATTAAAGGCCACAGGAATAGCATAGAGCACATTATATCAAAACATGACAGGGAATACTGTAATTACTTAAGCCAGGTGGTAATGTCTTCTGTTGTGAAAGCGTAGCACGCTGAACCACAGCTCTCTCTGTGTGTGTTTGTGTGTGTGTGTGTGTGTGTGTGTGTGTGTGTGTGTGTGTGTGTAACGGCCTGACTGAAATCTGACTGATGGGCTTTAGGTGAAAACTTGAGTCCACCAGCCACAGACAAGCTGGATCTAATATAATTATTTAGAGCAAATACTGTACAAAAGAAGACAAAAATAAACAAAACCACGGAGGTCTTAAGATGTACAAAATACTGCAAAATAAGGTGTTCTGATATATTGCAGAGTAACAAAGTTGACCTCGTATGACCCGTTACCGTAAGTGATGTTCTTTTTCAAATAACAGAAACATATTTCCAACGAGTGATATAAAGATTATTGAACAGTCAGAGCTTGAAACAAGTTACAAAGGATATTTAAGGCCAGCTAAAACCAACAGATTCCACTGCTGCAAAGCTCCAAACCCCCAGATGGTAGTGTCTGTTCACTTTGTCCACAGATGCACCTTTTTCCAGTTAATTGTAAACGTTGGATCTCGTGTGATGTCCTATAGGGTCTTGAAAAACCAACCCTATTCCTAAAATCAACCAAAATAAAACATCAATAATGAATGTTATTGTAAAATCTTTGCCTCAGATTTAATCCTATAAAATTAAAAAGTCTAAGAAACTTTGTTGGTTTTTCTGTATTTAGGTCTCAACAGGAAAGCAAACATGCTTGTTTTTCAAAAGGTCTCAATTACATCCAATCTGAAAACAGAGTGACATGAGGTACATTTGAGTTTCTATCAGGATGCTCAAAGCACCAGCAGATGTTACCCTATGTGTCTAATTAGTGTGGAGTTCTGTTCATTAAAAATGCTGCAGAAGTGCTGAACTTAATCACGTTTTTAGAGTTTCTCTTCGAATCACAGCAACATATCCATCCCTAGTTAGTCTGCTTCTTGAAGGGCAGATGTGGGCGAAAACTCAGAAAATGCGCCAACTATACGGACGGCGGTGGTTATCATTAGCAACAGAAGTTTAGCAGATAAATTCAAAAAGCAGGTCTGTTTGTTTGCAGTCCGACATGGTAAAGCAACATTCCACTTGTGATTCTATCTATGGTCAGAGCCTACAGCTCCACAGCATGCTCAGGTGTAAGAAATAATACCATTATGTTGACGATATGAATTCCTTTTGTTTACTAATTGATCTATTCAATCCTGCCAAAGCTTTGAGGCAAAACCTTCTTTGATAAAACGGGTGATCCGGACAAAGAGCCATCTCTTGCTGGTATGGGACATGAATCAGTCGACGTGGGTCTGTGGACGAGGCCGAACCCAGGATCCCAACACGAACACCAGCTTTTACACCCACAGCCTCCTGTTCTGGTTTCCTGTTGGCAATTGGCTCTAAAATAAGTGCTTTAAAGATATGAAAGTAACTCTCTCTTCTCTCGATGAAGCTATCTTTAAAAAAAAAAAAAAGAAAGTCAGAGCTGGCAGAAAACTGTGATAACTGTAATAATACAGAGAGTTCTTTTTTGGGGAGCTAAACAAACAGCTGGTGGCAACAACTGGTTCTTCTTCTTTGGCAGCTGAATGAACAGTGATGAGGAGAGAACAAGAGGAACTGGGAGCTGTGGGAGGAATGGATCCATCCTCTACAACAAGTCCTACCTGCAGGGCTGACTCCTCTCTGCCTGTTTGAATCCGGACCTGCCCTGAGCTCAGTTCCTGCCCCCCCACCATACACACATCGCTGTGCAGCTGTCAGGACTCGTCGCAGCTTGGGAATGGCTGCTCCTCTGCTCACTCCTGCTGTCTGAATGTCTCTTTATCTGTCCGCTTCCAGCTCTAGCTTCAAGTGCCAGCAATTCGATGGCTTCACCACTGTGCAAACTGCATTGTCATAAAAAAAATCAATAATAAAAAGTAAAAATAAAAACCAACCATTCCTTTTCTTTAGTCTTACAACCTCTTAAATATTTAAAAGATTGAATTATTTTGTTTTTGGACGAAGATATGAGTATATATATATATATATATATATATATATATATATATATATATATATGGTATAGATCTGTGTGTAAATGTACATAAAAATATACAAAAATGTGTATAGACAAACTGATTTTAAGGACTTCTCATACATGCTATGCTATGTACGTTAACATACATACAGCACAAACATATATACTTGGTTTAGTTGTGTGTGTGTGTGTGTGTGTGTGTGTGTTAATTCCTTGGTTTTTAAAAGCTCTACATTCAGTAGAGTCAGACTTCCATCGAGTACCTCTGCCCTAACAACAGTGGGCTCAGCTCCTGAGCCGAGACTCGGTCGCCTACATGTTCCCATCTTTGAAGCGGTCGCTTCGGATGCGGCCGCTCGGTGTCTCACCCTGCCAACTCAGTCACCCGTGCTCTTTGTGGCAAGACAAGCTGATCGGGACTTTTTTTTTTATCTTTGAATTCAATCAACACAGAGAACAACTCAGTCATGAACTCACAGTTCCCCTCTCTGGGTTAAAAGAAAATCCTCGTTATTCTCCTTAGGAGTGGCTTCCATTACCCCTCCTGTCGCTCCATTCCTGGGCCATGGCCAGGCTCTTAGGCGAGAAGCCCCGGGAGGCCGAAACATTCAATAAAACCGGCTGCTCTCATCCAGTGCAGCCACTTGTTACCATGGTAACCACACCATCTTATAACCCCTCCCACCTCTTGAAAGAAGAGAGGACAGTTATCGAATGTTCATTTTCAAGTGGACTCCAGAGTGTCCAGCTGAAACACGTTGTGATTGGTCGGGGTGGTGAAGAAGAGCTGGTCGTGTGGCGGGGACGCCGCATGGTTGTCGCAGGGGCTGTTGAGGCCCAGCGTCCGCTCAAAGTCCAGAAGCTGGCCCATGAAGTTGAAGTTTGGGGAAATGTTGGACTTCTTCCGCTTGACGAAGTCGTAAGCGTCGTTGAGCGAAAGGTTGAGCTTCTGCATCAGGTAGGCCACGGTGACGGTGACCGAACGGCTGATCCCGGCCAGACAGTGCACCAGGATGCCACACTTTTTGGAGCGAGCCTCGTCTGGTGGGAGGCAGAGATGGAGGAAAAGCAAAGAAAAAACAGATTTTAAAGTAAATCGTTCTGACCATTGCCGTGGTAATCTAAGGCAGTATCAGTATTCTGGTCATTTAAATAAAAGACATTTGTATCTTTTGGTTTACATTCCTTCGGAATTAATTATAATTACCATTAGTGACTCAGACTTTTGACACCTGTACATCATAACGATCTAACGTTAAAGGACTCGTAGACGGTGGAGCACGAGATAAAAAAAAATACACAAGAAAACATCTAAATAAAACAAAAATCTGGGCAGAGTGTAGTCGGTGGCATTTTACAGATCTAGTTTTAGAAACTGACCTCAACATGTCATTACGACAGCTAACTATACTTTAAATGATGTCATTCAAGTGTAGCCATTTTACCATTTTCTCCTTTAGTGTATGTACTACTACTGTGTTGGATCATTTTTACCTACATAAAATAATTACAATGGCATTACTTTAATTCAGATTATCTACTGAGTGACCTTTGCTGTATGAATGCCAAACACTAGCCGGTTCTTTAGGTAATTTCATAGGAAATTTCTAGTGTTAGTAAACATCAACAGGGACAAATTCAAATTCAGAAATACTTTATTAATCCCAGAGGGAAATTGATTAACAGTACTTTGTTACCATTAGAATTTAATATCTGCTTCATGCGTTCCAGAATGGCTTTCTCATTGACAATGACGACTATTCCGTGTCTTTTTTTCAGCTCTCTCTCTCTCAAGCAAACTGTGAATAAAAAAGCCTCCTACATTATTAAGCGCCTGCATCCATCCGCCTATCAGTTTCGAGCCCTTGCACTTGCATCCAGAGGCCATTAGAGCGAGAGTTAAGTGCTTCTTTCCTTCCTTTCTTTCATCCTCTTCTTGCTCTCTTTGCCCGCGTCTCCGGTTGTAAGATTGAGGTCAGCTGGCTCATGAGCTGGGCCCGCTGAGCCGACGCCAAATTACATTTATGAGGGATGTGTGCTCAAATTCCACAATAGAAGAAAGGGCTGAAAATCCTCGCCGGGAGAATAAAAAAAAAACTCCACAAGGATGAGAAGTCAAATAAAAAGTAGTTAATCTGCTGGGACTGATCGGGGGGGTTGTGGTTTAAATACACACCAATGACACAAGCCAACATTGATCACGCTGTTTAGGAGGCAGAAAAACAATCTCGTCTCTTTTGACATTCTTTCCTACATGGAACATTATGTTCAAACAGGTTTTTTGGATATCCCAGAAGCTCCCAGCCTACAGTGGCTTGTTTACATCTTTGTTTCTTTGCTGTAACCAAACAAATCTGATGTAAATCCTAGAATATTACAGCTCAGGTTAACATCAGAGTGGCCTAGATGTGCCACGACCTGCAGGTCTGAAACGTGTCATGATTACTCCGACCGAAGACCAATCTTTACTTGAAAAGCAAAAACCGAAGGTCTGGAGAATCTTAAATAAGGTTTCTGGCAAGGACCCATCATTAGACGGGGAATCCACTGGCTCTAAGCGAGTTAAGTCAGATGGAATGAAGGGAAACATTCATGAAGGCTGAACTCTTCACTCAAAATAATCTAGTCCCATGTTTTGTACACAATTTTTCAGTTTCAAATCAAGGTCTTCGGGGTGGCTGAGCAGGAGTAAAACATTTACAGATGAACATTATCTGCATGTATTTTAAAAAATCCTTAAAAATAGCTGTGGTTCAAAGGGAACCTTATGGCCCTGAAAGCGGTAGGACCTGATGTGAAAAACTGTTAAAAATACATTATTTGGATAAATCGTTCTCAGGCAAAAAGGTACTCGTAGTTGCTGCTTCCAGTTCGTCCAATTGTACTGTTGTAGTCCACAGAGTGAAGTTATGGAAATTAGACAAAAACAAGTCATTTAATGAGCTCTTGGGCTTCAAAACTACAATGATGTCATATTAGTCATTAACTCTCTGGAGGCACCTGGTAACTCCACATACATATTTCTATATTTTTTTACTCAGAAGTACCCCTGAAGAACTTAGTTGTTCATCCTGTAAACAAAACTTAATTTGAGCCTGAAAGGGTTAAACAAGATATTTCAGGACATTTTTATACAAATAACACGCTTTCCTACTTTCAAAGTCTTGTATATGCTTGGGTGAAAATACTAGTTGGTTATAAAATGAAGTACTTTCTATGCACCTGATCTTAGCAGACACTTGCCTCCACTACTGCAGAGTGTGTTTACCTAAGGGGATGGCTGTTTGAACGGTTTGAACACACAGCAAGCTAAACTCAGATTAGCAGTTTTTAATTTGAGTAATAAAATTTCCCTCATCAGCAGCTCAATATGTAGAGATTCGGTTATTAAGAGACATAACTTGAACCGATTCAGGTTATTTAAACTTGGACTGTAATTAAACTACCAGCAAGATAGTCAACACACAAGTTGAACTCAAGTTTTATTTACTCCATGAACCCTGCATTCATTGAGAGGTTTATTATTTTTTTAGGAAACCTAAGAAACCCAAAATGTTTTTGTTAGTTTCTGACTAGATTTTAAATTCAAACATTAAAATATTTTCTGTCTAGCAAAGAGAAAGTAAACATTGTTGTGTTCTTACTTATGTGTCCCTTTAAATCCAGTGTACACTAAAACTCCGATAGTCTGACACACCCATGTATTCAAAACAAATGTGTGCTAACTCATATCCGCTACTGACATGGGACGTGACAAAAGCAGCTCTACTGTCACTTACCGATAAATGAAATGGCCTCGGGGAAAAACTGTGAAAGATTTTGGCTCCAGTGATCAGAGATGGGAATCTGTTTGTACTTGAAGTCTCCCTCGTGCTCAAACATGTTGGGCAGGTTGGGCGTCACGTTGAGGATGTATTTGATGTTGTGCTTGCTGAGCACATCAAGGTTTGTAGAGTCTTTGGCACAGCCCAGGTAAAGGTATGGCAGAATCTGGACGGGGAACGCTGACTGGTTGTTGGGGAGTGGGCTGCCCTCCGATTCAGTGGCGCTTCCCGGCTCGCGGTCGGACTCTCCATCTGAGCAGTCTGAGCTGATGCGGAGCCCTCCCAGTCCGAGGACAGAGGTTGGTGGAGAACTGCTGGGAAATGAACAGTCCAGATTGGTCTCGCAATGATCGGGATACTCTGACTGGAACTTGTTGAAACCTCCTGGAGAACATAAAAAACATAAATAATGAAGGAGGTCTAGAATTTAAAATCGCATTTACCTTGTTGAATATAGACAGCTTAATGTACCATACCAAAACATCTATGCCATCATCGACCTGCTTTCTTATGTAAATTAGTGATGTTGTAATGAGCACGGAGAAAGGGTTTGTTCTGGGAAAAGCTGGTTTAGCCCGTCATATGTGTAGACACATTACCCTGAATTTTCAAGTCTAACCCTACTTCATCATCTGCAATAGATAAAGGTTGGTGGTAGTAATGCTAACCATAGAACAACAGTAGCCAGAGCTATTGTTAAACATGCCATATGTAAAAATTAAGTTAAAATGACACCCTGTGGTCAAATTTGGTTACTGCGGGTAATTTTTTTAAGCTGCTGATCCATGAATTTGTGGCTGTTGCCATCTACGGATCAGCGCTAGAAGATAATCATACACAGTAAGCTGATAAGTAGCTAAATACATTGTCAAATCTGCTGCTGACAATATTGACCCTTTGCACCGACGTCACCTAATCACGTGGGTCCACCATGCTGGACGGCAAAAGCATGTAAACAGTGAGCAACACAATTACTAAACAAAGGGAAAAGTAGAGCCTGAAATTGTTTTTGCGATCAAAACAAAAACAAAACTCCTCCAGCATTCCTTCAACTAGTTCATGCCCAGTTCAGTTATCAGAAGAAGTAGCGCATCTAGCCAGGGCTCATAGAGAGCGGTATGTTAACTATTTTCTCACTTTATTTTAGTAATTGTCTCGCTTTACAGTACAGTAGACGGAGCGCAGCCTCCGTGGTGAAATACCCATCCATCAGGATTATCAATAACTAGTATAAACACATCACATTTATCCCTGTCCCTGTCCTCCTCGTGAAATAAATGAACGTTAATCTTACCCGGTAAAAACACGTTCGCTGCAAATCTGAGGCCTGCTAGTCAGCTTGATTGATTGATCGCTGCAGTTCATCTCCGTCCTCAGCCTCCATCAAAGTTATTAAAAAAACAAAACGAGTTGAGTTTACGTCCTTGTCTGTTAGTGCAGCAAACCACGCAGCAAGCTAAAACCATTTTACTGTCAAATCAACAAAATAAAAGCGATAAAAGGCTACAAACTGGCTTGTTTTCACTACCTTCACTGGAGTTTCTATGGGTGTAAACGGTCTTTTTGCCGTCGATCATGGCAAAGGGGGTGGTCACACGAGTGGCGTGACGTCACGTGCAAAGGGTCATTTGGGTGTAGGAGGCACCTACTACACTTATTAAGGTAATATGTCTCCAGAAGACATATAGTATTAGAGGACATGTGGTTATTTGCCATCTCGCTGTTAGCATGCTGTTATAGTTCTAAACGACCCACTAAAGGAAGTAAGACGTCACTATTGACTCATAATTCCTTTCACACATACATTTCACTGTAATATTGTGTTGTTGGTAATTGAAAAAGTAGCTTGAGATATTTTTAGAAATGACTTTTTGCTCCCAATTCACCATTAGCATTGTTTGTTCTATGTAAGCCTCTAGCCTACTTTACCCGCTATTAGAGTAACAACAAAAAAAAGATACCGTGGCTTCTGAGGGGTACAAGAAATAACTTCTGAGTAGCTCCGGTTAACTGGTTTTGCTGGTGTCGAATTACAAATGCTGGTGCTGCAGCGACGCAGACTCAGTGCTCGGGGCTAGGGACAGTTTTGCTGCTGTGCGTCGGCCATGAGAGCGGGGGTAGGGGGGTAATTTCATAGCCATGGTGCTAGAATTTCAGGCGTGGCACAGCACCAGCCTAGGTAGGGTCACACTTCTTCCTTCCAACAAGATTGAAATATTAGACTCTTTTGAGATTATTTCACTGTATAATTCTAATATTGCTCCTTTGCTGGTAGCCCAACCTACTGCTAAGAAGTGTAATGCTAGGGGTAGCCTAAGCTACTGCTAATGTCTTTGTTGGATGAGAGGAAAACAACAAAGAAGAATGTTGGAGCGCACATTTAACATTCCAGAATGTAGTGGGAATAACCAGACTCTGAATGAGTACCAGATAGATCCATCGGCTTATCAAAATAATGCACACAGCTGTACATACAGATTGTAGCTTCAGGTGCATCATCGAGCCATCGGGGTATACCGACCAATCAGTATACAGCTCATTTAATATTCATATCCAGTCTTTCCATTGTAAGACTTTAATTTGAGGTTGTGTTTGATCATTTATCAGGACTCCAGGGTCATTTTGGGCCTTAAAGTTTCACACACAAATTTTCATTTCATTTCATCCTCATTTCATTTATTTATAAAGCCCCTTCTGCGACCAATGCAGACACCCAAGGTGCTGAACACAACACAATAAAAACATAAAACCATCAGAATAAAATCGAAACCGGGTAAAATTTGCTAATCCTGGAATGCCTTGACAAAAAATGGGTCTTAAGGCGAGTCTTAAAAAACCCCAATGAGGGTGACTGACGCACCACCTAAGACAACTGGTTCCAAAGTGCAGGTGCCAACACCGAGAACGCACGGTCCCCCCTTGACCTGCACTTAGTGCGTGAACGATCAACAGCTCCCTGCCGGCTGAGCGAAAGGCCCGCGAGGGGTCATGTCTATGCAAAAGGTCGCCAAGATATGCTGGAGCAGTTCCTTGTAAGGCCTTGTATGTCAGTACCAAGACCTTGAATTTTGCCCTGTATTGCACAGGCAGCTAATGAAGGGATGCCAACACAAGGGTGATATGCTCCCTGTGCCTAGTACCTGTCACGAACCTAGCGGCTGAGTTTTGTGCTAACTGCAAGCGTGCTACCGCACCCTGACTAAGGTCGGCATACAGTGCATTGCAGTAGTCGAGCCTTGAAAGAACAAAAGCATGTGTGACAGTCTCTAAACGTACTCTGGACAGCAGAGGCTTAATTCTGGCTAGTCGGCGTAAGTTATAAAAACACAATCGCACAACCTGGTTGACTTGTGCGTCGAATTTAAGGGGCTGAGTCCAGTTGCATCCTTAAAATAAATGTACACAGACCATCCTTAAAACAAATGTACACAGCTCATAGTAACATCGATGACACCTAGTGTCTGGAACTTTACAGGACACAATCATGACCTTAGATGACATAAAATGACTATTTTGTTTAATTAAGCAATGATCTATATTAAATTGTTGCTTTAAACAAAGTAAATATTGAAGATCTTTTCAGAGATGTTTTCATCTACATCATCGTTAAAATGCACATTCAACTCTCTTGTAGGCTGAATCAGAAGGATAATTATATTATTATAAACCCCGTATTAAAGCCTAGCATCAGAACACAGTAATACGTCCGATAAAAGGATGTGAACATGAAAACATGCTGGACAGTCGCGCTCCATTGATAAAAATTGCGGAGGATCAGGACAGTCAGCTCCAACATCAGTTTTTTTGTGAATGGCAGCTCGGTATGCGACTCTTGCCAAACACATCTACTATCCGCGGCTCTGAAACACCCCTACCCGCTGCCACCCTCGAGTTTTTATCTCCGCTTTGTTAGTTTTTCGAATAAAATGACGTATTATGCCTCTGTTGTCTGAACTGAGTTGTCGTGTCCTCGTTTCTCTGTTCATTCATGAAAAAAGAGAAGCGGCTGTCTTGCTGAAGGAGAACAACATGGCGGGCCGTTTTAACCTAATTTAATTGAAAAAAAAATTGCACTTTGCTTAACAAAAGCGATTTAAAACGGTTCAGCTTCGGGTTTAACCAATTACTACACGAAATTGTGATACTGTTAAATTGTGAAATAGTCACAAGACACGGCGGGAGCGTGAAACATCTGTCGGACATGAAAGTTGAAAAAACATTTTAAAGCTAAACAATCAGCAGGAAACGTCACGGACTCGGTTTTTATGTCAAACTTTAGCTTATAGATGACTAATAAACAAAATTATTTGTCACAATTAAGATTTTAAACCTTAATAAGCACCGAATAAAAGTAATAATCGTGTTGTGAAGGTTATGAGACATAAGTTTGATTTGTCAAAATAGACTTAAGACTTTCTGTTTCGGAATTACGAATTTATTCAGCACTAATAAACTAGTTCTTTTCGGTTTGGGGTGAAATGACATTTAAAAGATTGATTACTAACAATAAACGTTAAGAAAGGATGTGTAGGAAGTTACCTTCCAAAAAGAAAGCCTTGCACCCGTCGTCCCGGAGCTTCTGCAGGAGCAGCCCCATCACGGAGCACCCCATCACGGACTCCTGCCGCTCCGACGTCGCCTCGTCGTACAGAAGCACCACGTCCGTCTTGCACCTCTTGACAAATTTCTCCTTGTCCTCGTTGTTAGGAATGATAGATCGGATGGGTAGGTTGCCCTTCTTGAGCCTCCGCAGCATGAGGCCCGGGATGGCCAGGTTGATGGCCGACTCGATGTGCGAGGACTCGAACAACTCATGGGATCTGCAGTCCAGCAGCAGCAGAGAGCTGGCCCCGGACTCCAGCTCGTCCTGCAGCCACCCCACGCTCTTACTCGACATCATCATTACAGTCACGATCACCGAGCCTCTGCACAGACGATTAATTTTCATCAGGGAAACGTTAATCCACCTGTCCCTTGTTGTGACATGACAACAGCACGATAGAGAGGAGTGAGGAAAAAAAGAAGTCAAAAATCACTGCGTCCAACTTCGTTTCCCGCGGCCACCACCACCGCCGCTCCTGCGAGCGCAACCCAACACACACCTCCACACACACTCACGCACATCCAACACACACGCGCACCAATGCCCCTGTGGTCTGAGCAGGAAACTTGAACATGTAGATGTTTCTTTCGCTCCCTCGCTCAGTCCGGTATAAGTGGAAGTCACTCCAGTCCATCCACGTCCATTCAGCGAGTCAACTCCCAAGTTTTGAGGCCGATAAACCAAATGACGGGCGGACGGCTCGTTGACTCGTTCACATGTCCCGTTCGGGTGAGCGGCTCGATCTAAAGCTCATGATTACTGTTGTTATTTGACAAGGTGGCCCGCGGAGCGCCTCTGGTTTGTCATTTCCTCTGGATGTAATGAAGACGGTCTGCGGGCTTGTCACGGTGAAAGGGGAGGAGCTTAGAGATTTAAAGGTACAGAGCTGCTGGACACACACACACACACACACACACACACACACACACACACACACACACACACACACACACACACACACACACACACACACACACACACACACACACACACACACACACACACACACACACACACACACACACACACACACAGCCTTAATGACCGAATCCATTCATGCAACCACTAGTTAACACAGACTCAGAGATGGCATAATAACTGACAGCCTCTGGGTCCTCGTTTCTTCGCAGCAACATTTCAATTGACTGCTTCAATAAAGGAGACATATAAATTTTTTAAGTTGTACTAGTTCGATGGTCTAAATAAAATATAGGGATTCTTTCAACAAAATAAGTCTCAAATAAAGCAATTTCAGCAGTTTAATTCTTGACCTTTTCAGTATCTTCCAGAATGAGTCTTTTGAGGGCTCTGTCACTGAAAGTAGGTGAGCAGTTTCCTGCTCTTCCGCCCTACTGGTTAAAAGTATTACAACGGTCGTAAATAACCCTGCAGTAGCTAGTGCTAATAACAAGCTAACACTAACATGAGCCAACTAATACTTAAATAAACAACGAAGTAAAAAGATCCTCAATGTTGGACAAAAACTATTATCACATACAAGTCCAAGGAAATAGGAATTAAGGAAAATAAGATTCTGCTGGCCACGCCCACCCTTCCCCTGATAGGCTGGTATTAGCAGAGACACTGGATATCTGGGAGGGGCTGGAGTAGAGCCGCTCTACTCCACTGGTTCTGAGCTAATTTCCCTGTCAGTTGTGTCACAAATGGGGATTTTTTTAAATGGCTTGTTTTAGAGACATACTTTCTAAAACAAAACAGAGATAAAGGATCAACATTTTATTTGTTTCCCACATTTAGGGTGTTTTTAGAGGTCTGTTCATTTAATTTTCCTCAATTCATGATTTAAAAATGTGTTATTTTGCAATACGGTAGAGAGAGAGAGAGAGAGAGAGAGAGAGAGAGAGAGAGAGAGAGAGAGAGAGAGAGAATAAGGGAACTCATGAACATGCGGCTACTGTGTTGCAATATTTATTTGTCTTCTTCCTTCTCAAACCCATCGTTCAGTCCTCTCACTACCAACACCTTCACATGCTTCACTCATAAATAAATTACTGGAAACACTTTTAACTGAAGCTAGCTTTTGTCCTCTACATGCACAGATCTAATCATGCATTACAATCTAATTTTTATTATGAGTTAAGATCCTCTTACATAGCAGACAATCATTTAAATGTATTTAATTTTAGAGAATTTAAAAAGTTCAAACAAATATAAAAACTCACTTAAACATTTCAAGGTGATGCTTTTAATACTCACAATACATTTCTACAAATTTTTCCTAAGAAGAACTTCATGATTAACTTTGTTGGTGTTTGTCCATTAAACCTTTATCAATGTGTCGTCGTCGTCTTCCTCCGCTTATCCGGGTCCGGGTCGCGGGGGCAGCATCCCAACTAGGGAGCTCCAGGCCGTCCTCTCCCCGGCCTTGTCCACCAGCTCCTCCGGCAGGACCCCAAGGCGTTCCCGGACCAGATTGGAGATGTAACCTCTCCAACGTGTCCTGGGTCGACCCGGGGGCCTTCTGCCGGCAGGACATGCCCGAAACACCTCCCCGGGGAGGCGTCCAGGAGGCATCCTGACCAGATGCCCAAACCACCTCAACTGGCTCCTTTCGATCCGGAGGAGCAGCGGTTCTACTCCGAGTCCCTCCCGAATGTCCGAGCTCCTCACCCTATCTCTAAGGCTGAGCCCAGCCACCCTACGGAGGAAACTCATTTCGGCCGCTTGTATCCGCGATCTCGTTCTTTCGGTCATTACCCAAAGCTCATGACCATAGGTGAGGATTGGGACGTAGATCGACTGGTAAATCGAGAGCCTGGCTTTCTGGCTCAGCTCCCTCTTCCCCACGACAGATCGGCTCAGCGTCCGCATCACTGCAGACGCCGAACCAATCCGCCTGTCGATCTCCCGATCCCTCCTACCCTCACTCGTGAACAAGACCCCGAGATACTTAAACTCCTCCACTTGAGGTAGGACCTCTCCCCTGACCCGGAGGTGGCAAGCCACCCTTTTCCGGTCGAGAACCATGGTCTCAGATTTGGAGGTGCTGATCCTCATCCCAGCTGCTTCACATTCGGCCGCGAACCTACCCAGCAAGAGCTGAAGGTCAGAGCTGGATGAAGCTAGGAACGACCACATCATCCGCAAAAAGCAGAGACGAGATTCTCCTGCCACCAAACTCGACACACTCCACACCACGGCTGCGTCTAGAAATTCTATCCATAAAAGTGATGAACAGAACCGGTGACAAAGGGCAGCCCTGGCGGAGTCCAACCCTCACTGGGAACAGGTCCGACTTACTACCGGCTATGCGGACCAAACTCACGCTCCTCTGGTAAAGGGACTGAATGGCCCTTAACAGAAAGCCACCCACCCCATACTCCTGGAGCGTCCCCCACAGGGTGCCCCTGGGGACACGGTCATAAGCCTTCTCCAAATCCACAAAGCACATGTGGATTGGTTGGGCAAACTCCCATGCCCCCTCCATCACCCTTGCAAGGGTATAGAGCTGGTCCACAGTTCCACGGCCAGGACGAAAACCACATTGCTCCTCCTCTATCTGAGATTCAACTATCGATCGGACCCTCCTCTCCAGTACCTTGGAGTAGACCTTTCCAGGGAGGCTGAGGAGTGTGATCCCCCTATAGTTGGAACACACCCTCAGGTCACCCTTCTTAAAGATGGGGACCACCACCCCGGTCTGCCACTCCCTAGGAACTGCCCCCGCTGACCACGCAATGTTGTAGAGACTTTATCAATGTGGATCCGGTAAATTACTCATGTATTTGTATTCAAATTTTTAAGGTCTTATAAGAAAAATTAAAATATCACCCAGCTGTCTTTTAATGTAACAACACATCGTTTTTAAACTAAGCTAGAGCTCTAACATTGATCTCAGTGATTGTTGAGTTAAAAATGGGATGATATTTGACCAATCTGCAGCCATTTGCTGACCAAAAACTGTACTTAATAGTTTTGTGGAGCAGGTAGGTGTCCTGGGGGCACTCCTTAGCTGCTTTTTGGCCATTAGCTGTAATGCTAGCGGTTAGCATTTTCAGTTTGCCAATCATCAATAAAAAGCACAAGAATAAGACAAAGAAGTTAGCTTTTTCTGTTGGCATCATGGTGGAGCCTGCAGTAAAAGTAACAGAGTAATGTATTTGGAAGTGAAACAAAGAGCTAAAACTGGAGAGAACATTGGTGTGGTTTGAGGGAGCTAAATGAAGCTACAAAATCACGAACTGATGGTAACCTGCCTTTGTTGTTCCTGGAGTTGTAAGAAATAATATTTTTTGTTCAACAGTATGGATCTTTTAACGTCATGGTTTATTTTGGTATTAGTTGGAACATGCTAGCTACAGCACTGTTCTTTTACAACAGTTGTTATTCTACTTTCAACCAGTAGGGTGGGGGAGCGGGAAACTGCTCGCTGTTACTTTAATCTATAATCTTATTGTGCAAAACATTGAAGCAAAAAATGTATAAAGTTGATGATTTAAGACCAAAATTCAAATATTTTCTATTGAGTTTTAAAATATGTCTTCTTAAATTAAATCATCTCAAGTCTTGGCTTTCCACATAAACAAATACATTTTGTGCAAAGTAGCAAATAACTAACATTTTTGTGTCTTCCATCCTATTAATGTTATTTCTAAAAGTATATAATGTTATCATAAATATTCTATCATGTCCTTCAAAATGTCATTCTTTGATTATCTCAGACATATTAGTAAATCGGACAATAATGTTTTAAATCATAAACACTCCTGGTAATAACTTTTAATAATAAATGCCATCAGATATTTACGCTTGTTTTCAGAGTGGGTTTTCACACTGGTCTTCCACGTAACAGCTCGGCAGTTTGCCTACTACTCCAAACAAGCCATCACTACATCACAATGCATGACCTAATAAGGCATCAGCAGGTTGTGACAGAGGCCGCGTGGAGGAAAAGAGAAGCGTTTGATTTCCTCACAGCTGCATAGAGGAGGAGTGGGGGATGCACCAGCTGCAGACAATGGCTCTTTATCCCAAATGCACGCACGCACACATACACACTTAAAACTTTAGGGCTCTTGTGCTCCCTTCGTGGACAACAGGCTCTCTGAGAAAGGATGTTTTTGTTTGTCAACAACTGCACTCCATTACTAAACAAAATGGTCATTCATAGAGAAAAAAAGAATCAAATAAAAGTGCAAGCCTACTTTCACTTCAGCAACTCATGGTTAGACTCAGCCTCCATTCAAATTATGAGCATAAAATAGAGAAATACAGAATCCAGTCAATATTTCTCAGTTGAGTGTGTACATTTTTAACTGTAAATATAAATCATGATTTTTGCAAAGTAGAAAATGCGTAAAATAGCCAGTAGGTGCAGGCATGCTAGCTAGTTAACTAGCCTGGCATGCTAACACCTCATCAGGGTCGAAAACACAAAAGCACTAAAGTTTTAGTTATGTGTTTGCTGAGAATGGGAAATTACTGTAAGCTCAACAAAAAAGAATATTTTGTCTGTGTGAATTTGAAAATGATGATTACAAAATGCCCAAATCAACTTCAAAGAAGAGACTGTCTTGCCAGATTTTCCATAACTGGAAATTTAGCAGAGAATCTGCTCACATCTCTGGTAAATCCTTCTTTGAGCCTTATTTAATGTTTTTCTTCAAGGCTGAAATGTATTTGTTCATTAAAACAATTTACAAGATGTGTTGTTCTGTGTCCTAAATGTATCTAACCGATTAATGACATATGTTCAATCTTTTTTTCCTGGGTTGCCTGCAGATTATAGAACACTAAAGAAATAAAAAAAAACTTCCCACAGATGTGGTGATTTTTTTTTTTACATGTTAAGGTCTGCGGT